AATAAACCGAACACTGCCTGCTTGTTAGCGACGGATGTGGCCCTCGCTGGTCTGTAAAGAGCTTCAGTGCTGCTAGTCTGTACCGTGCGTCGATTATCGTGACTGAAAACGTTAGCGTAGATGTCATTAATACATTGGATACATACAACTTTTTGCGCCACGGTATTCGTGAATATCACCGTCGAAGTGCAGCGTACCGCGAAATAGTAACTTTTCCTCTACGTCATCATGCTGTGATAACAGAGAGCTCAGGATCTTCAGATTCCAGAGGCTGATGACCTGCTAATGTGACTGATAGCCTGACAGCATAACTGACTGATGACCTGCTGGTGTGGCTGACTAATGACCTGCTAGTGTGACTGACTGCTGACCTGTCAGTGTGACTGATTAATGACCTGCCAGTGTGACTGACTGATGACCTGCCAATGGACCAACTGAAGATCTGTTAATATTTTCAAATCCCATCCAAGTATATTACAAGAGCACCTACACCCACGCGGAACACCTTGTACGAATGGCCGTCGATGCCGTGGACATGATAATCAGAGATCATGCACGGGCTGAACATGCCCTTCAAATGATATAGGTTCGATCAGCTGGGCAATAAGCCATCTGATGAAGGTGGTCCGAATATGCATATTTTAACGAGTGAGGCCCAAACACTGCCTTCCCTTTCAAGGGCAACGATGTTGTAAGGATTCTCTCAAAAGTCTTTCAATATCCAGCATCACCACTGCGGACGGGCTCATCCAAATATTGTTCGCGTCCTACAACGTGCGCTACAGGACTTCTGGAATACGACACCGCCAGTATTGTCACATACCACAGACCACAGCTGCGTTATCTTCCCAGAATGCATTGCTTGTTGACATATGCATGCCAACAGAAAAGACCAGCTTCGAGAAAAGCTCTGTTGTAACAAAACGTTCGTTGTATATACATCGCATAAAGTCACATCACAACGCACAGCTTCAAAACGCCAACACAACTTGCTCGCTCCTAATACGTCACACCCGGCTTAAAGCTCGGGGCAGCAGTCTTGTGGGAGGACTTGTAGGCAGAGGTCGAGGACCTGTGCGGAAAGGCCTCTGGTTTGTCTACCGGGGCAGCAGATGTGTAGTCCGGGGCAGCAGATGTATAGGCCGGGGCAGCAGATGTGTAGGCCGAGGCAGCAGCTGTGTAGTCCGGGGCAGCAGATGTGTAGGCCGGGGCAGCAGGGGTGTAGGAAAGAGGAAGAGCATTGTACGCAGGGGCAGCAGACTCCAAGTCAGGCTGATGGGCCTGGGTAGTTGTCTGGTAAACAGGTGCAGTTGCCTGATAAGCAGGAGCAGCTGTCCCGTATGTTGGGGCAGCAGGCTTAAAAGTGCGCCTGTAGGCTGAAGTGGTAGCCTTGAAGGGCAGGGAAGTGGGCTGATAGGCAGTGGTGATGGTTGGCTGATGGACGAGAGTGGCGGCCCTGTACGCGGGCTTGTAAACATTGGCAGCAGACTTGTAGGCCGGAGCAGCAGCCTTGTAGGCAGGAGCGGGGCGATACTCGGGGTACTGGGCCTCTCCCTCGTAGGTGACCTCAGCGTTGTAGCCGCCGTACCGGTCGGCGACGTACTTGACGTGCTGGACACGGCCGTCTGGCAGAGCCACCGAGTAATATCCCTGGGTGTTGTGGCCATCGCTCTCCTCCTTCTTGGCGAAGATGGTGCCGGTGTAGTGGTCGCTGATGGCGTAGTCGTAGGCGAACGGCTTGGCCTCCTCCTTGTACTGGTACTCCGGGTGGTATGACGGGGTATCGGGTGCCGGGGCAGCGGCGACGGCGGCGGCCAGAGCGGCGACGGCGACGAAGGCCTGAAGGTGGAAATGTAGTCCGTTATACCCACTGAAATGCATTCCTGATCGGAACTGATATCGTGTCTTTAAGTGTTTCTGAGAAGTTCCTCGTAGGTATCTAGCTCCTGTACTTTTGATTCATAGCCTGAATTTGACATCTCATTCACTTTGTATGCACAGAAATGCAGATGAGATGACCACCATTGTGAGCAACATCGTACTTCTAGTTGAACCACTAGTGCGCACCTTCATGGTGCAAGCTTTGATGGCGGAGAACGCAGTGCAACTGATACTTTCTCCACAAGGCCTTCGCTTTTAAGCGCCAGCTCCAAGTCGCTGATGGCCTGAGGTCACGGTCCGATCCGTCCGCATGCGACCGTTTGGCGATGGACCATCGGCTGGGCTCTCACGGCCACTCCCTGTTGGTCACGCCCGTCTCCGCACGCGGCGACCCTGCGGCTGTTGACCCGTCTTAGTTGCAGCAGCGTCGGGCGCTTACCGCTCTACCCAGACCCATGGCACCGAGCTAGGACTTCGCGCGCAGAGGTTTGGGAATGGATGTTAAAGATCGAAATGGTAGCTTATCGTAGAAACCAATGACAGAGCTTGATTGGTTGCAATGCGGAATACATGGCATGTGATATCTGCAAGAACCGTTTCTGAATAGCCCTGCGGCCCATCTGATGCAAAGGGCAAGCTGCCCAGCACAACTCACCGTGCAATGTAAAAAGAACATGTAAAATCGTCAGAAATGCACTTGGAGTATGATAGTGGGCGGAGAAGCCAGCTGATTGATACAAATTGTCACTTCCTGTGGATGCCATGCGTGGGTAAGTAAAAACAGTGGACGCGGAAGCACATGAAGAACCATCGTCTCGCTGCTCAGCCATTATGCCCACCGTGATTCCGTTTTCCTTGCAATTTGCATGGCCCTGTCATCACCAAAAGACCTCGCCCTTTCAGCACACGACGATAAAGCTGTTTATGACCGTTCTGGCAATACTACTAAAGGCTGAAAACTGCGAGGACAATGTATCACACATGACAGACCAGGCAGTTGAGATCGGATGCTACAGACATCGGTATGGATTTAGTCTGGTATTATCCAATCCAGCCAGGCTTTATCTCTCTGATCCCCTGGCAAGGTGTGAGACATGATCCACAGATCATCTATACCAAGTGAAGGAATTGTAATAATTTTCGTCACCGGCATGCTGGGATAACAAACAAGGCCAGGGATACAGCGTATGGGAGAGATCCCATAGGCCCTCCGGACCGGCGCTACAAGTGGTGAAAGGCGGATGTGGAGGGTGCCAGGTCTTCTTTTCCAGTTGCCATTGAAAAACATAGCCTTTTGTTGCTCCTTGAAGGCTTAGAAGATTCCATCACACCGATAATCGATTCTGCGTCAAATTTTTGCACAGCTTCAGGCAGCTGAAAATTAAATTTGTTTTTAGTATAACTTATTAGATGCAGCTATACAACGACCATACCATGCCAGCCGTGTGTTAGATCATTGGTAATTTAAGATCCTCAAGCTATCAGCTGTTTAGTTTTCTTCGCCCGATTGCCAAATATTAACACGCGCTCGGGAGAGGTAGATTTGCATCCGTCACCAATTTTTACGGAAAAGGTTTCCAACGGTGGCCAGGTCAGGCCGTTGACGTTAGGATTGGGTCATATAGTTCAATTCAAGATGGCTCGGCGAGCGACAATGTCTTTTTTCTTCCTTTCGCTGTTAACAAACTTTCGGGATGCATGGAGTGACCAGCTACACTTCGTAGCGTTGACGTTCACCTGTATGAAACGTTATTGATCCACGTCCATCGACTCAATGCAGCTTTGCAACAGATCAGTTTTGGCTACAAAATGCGTATTGAGTACGAGGAGGAGTCGGATATAGCAAACTGTATTCCTCAATGAACAGGTAGTCCTTCACATGCCGTCTTGAAAAAAGCCTAAAGAAATGTCTGGTTCTCTAGAACGCACAGGACCCATAGAGTGATAATGACAGCACTACTTTCAAACACAGTGTTAGCTATGAACAAAGCCGACGCGATGATAAAATCAGACGATGACTAGGAAGGACGGGTCAAGAGAAGGCAGAATGAAATTTGGTAGGATGTAAGGATGATAGTGCTGGAAACGGGGCGGTTTGTTAGAGCATCGGTTTGACGGTTTGTAAGAGCATAGATCGGTTTGTAAGAGCATCATGCAGTTCGGAGCTCGTCGACAATAAGAGAAGGCAAGCTTAACAGATCACAACAGGATTATAATCAAGGATGAAAAAAATGCAGAATGAGCATGCATAAATGATGGCTTGATCATTTTCTTTTCAATGTCTCGCTCTCAATACTGCTCTTCACATCTATTTGTGATTTCAAATATTCATAGGTTCACTGCATTAACCACACATTTTGCTCCAATCACTTTTCACATCGTTTCGTAGACGAATTCGTCGTACCAGATTGAGGGTACAGTCTTTTGCCAATAATCTTTACAACAAAGAATTCGTAGTCGCGCAGTGTGGCGGTCAGCGACAAATTACGGAAGCTGCAGTGTTCCAGTTGCTTGGGATGTGTATATATGTTCCAAGACTTGGTATTGCTGTTATTGTGGATTTGTTTGCTTGTTTACATAGGACATAAGCATTCCACAGACAAAAGCCGAATTACGAAAACGGAACACTTAACGGAAACTACGGAAACAGATCAGATCGGAATGATTTTGTTGGAAGAAAAAACATCATTTGAGGGACAATGCTGCAAAAGGGGATTGCGGACAGCAGGAAGTGGTGCGACAAATCCATGTTTAACAGTGTTGACCCTTGCGAATGACTCATTGAAAAGGTTAATATGCCTAGAGCGCCGGACGGCTGTAGCCAGACTGAACAGTGACGTCAAGTGAACGCAGTCACTGTTTCTCTGACTACGAAAACTAAACCTTTTCGCGGCGGATCGGCGGGAGGCCACTGCTCGCTCCAGTGAAGTGTGGGGCGGGTGCGGTGGTCTGATGATGGTGTGACGCTTACGCCACCATCAACAGCATGTGCATATAGCCTAATGAGATGGACCGCGTACCAACAACAACACGGACGTCTGAGCAGCAGTTTTATTGACATAGTTATAGATAATCATAATCATAAGAACACATTCGTGCGTACATTTACCGGGCATCCCTCATGCCGAGTACGTTGCAGGCTTGTGTGCCAGGGCAGCAATCTTGTAGACAGGGGAAGAATTGTGAACAGCAGCAGGGTTGTAAGCCGGAGCGGCAGCATTGTAGACAGGCGTGGGGTGGTACTGGGGGAACTGAGCCTCCCCCTCGTAGGTGACATCAGCGTTGTAGCCGCCGTAGTTGTCGGCGACGTACTTGACGTGCTGAACACGGCCGTCGGGCAGAGCCACCGAGTAATACCCCTGAGTGTTGTGGCCATCGCTCTCCTCCTTCTTGGCGAAGTCGGCTCCCGAGTAGTGGTCGTTGACGGCGTAGTCGTAAGCGAAAGGCTTGGCCTCCTCATTGTACTTAGGCTCTGGATAGTAAGAGGCCGGCTTGTAGGCCGGGGCGGGCCTGTACACCGGCGTATATGGAGCTGGGGCGGTAGCTGCAACAGCCAGCACGGCGGCAACGACGAGGACCTGCAATGCCATAGAAGATATGTTATCAATGGCTTGTTCATTCCAGCATCATTGTTATTTTTCCGACCACGATGCATTTGCCGGAAAAAAATCTGTAACACTCGACATATTGCTTCATCAACAATATAGTTCAAGCACATGCATGCATGCTGTGTTTTGGTGGCCGAGTATGCAGTGAAACTGGTGCCTGCTTCTGCAGTACATTCGCTTTTATAGGTCGGCCGCCAACCACCGACGAAGGCCACGGTCATTACCTCACTGAACAGACTGCCCCCGGCGCGTTATGATCTGCTGGGCTGGTGTCAACGTGGATTGGCACGGATCCGTAGCCTCTCCTTAATACACGCTCGACTCATGCCATGCGATGCGAAGTACAAAAGTCTGCTGTTGATCGCGCGGTTTCATTACTCAGTAAAGATGCTGTTCTTTACGGCATTGTTTGATAGCGTCTTCGACCGTTTTTAAGTTATCAGAGTCTCGACCAGAGTGGCTATGTTAGAGTTGCCACTGAATTGGAGAGTGACTCACCTGTCTGCTCCGACGCACTGTAAAGTTGGCGTCGTTCATTTAAACGAAGAATTTGTGTTGCAAGCGTCGTTGTGTGTGCTTTAGCCCGTTTTCGCCTTTTCTTGCTTTTTCTTTAGAGATTCATAATTTGAAGATGCAAAAATGCCTGTAATTTATCACAAAAAGGGTTCGTGGTCGACTCATGCAATCGACAGCGCAATCCGGCTGTGTGCCAATTGCCTGATGACGTCATACGTTCATCATAATTTCATTTGATTTAGCCAATTTGGTTCATTTGATTTAGTTCATTCACCTAGCCAAATGGTGCATCACCATCTGTAGCTCCATGAACGTCATGGGCCATGGGCCTACCATGCACAACAGTAGGTCCGGAATACGACACGGCCAACATAATCACGTACCACAGACTACAGCTGTGTCATCTTCTGATTGGCTATTAATGTGTGTATGCCAACACATCGATATGATGACGTGTGATGTTGTTGATGTTGATGTGTCTATGGTATGATGTTGAATGCATTGGTTGTTAATTTGTGTATGCCAACAGAAAAGAACAGCATCGATAAAATCCCTGTCTTATCAAAATGTTCCCTGCATACACATCGCATAACGTCACATCACAACGACAGCTTCAAAACGCCAACACAACTTGCTCGCTTCTAATAGGTCACATCCGGCTTGTAGGTCGTGACGGCCGTCTTGTGGGAGGAGTTGTAAGCAGCAATCGAGGACTTGTGCGGAGCGGCCTCTGGTTTGTCTGCCGTGGCAGCAGATGTGTAGGTCGGGGCACCAGATGTGTAGGTCGGGGCAGCAGATGTGTAGGCCGGCGCAGCAGTTGTGTAGGCCGGGGCAGCAGATGTGTAGACCAGAGACGCAGGAGTGTAGGAAAGAGGAAGGGCATTGTACGCAGGGGCAGCAGGCTTGAAGTCAGGTTGAGGGGCCTGGGCAGTGGACTGATATGCAGGTGCAGCTGTTTGATAAGCAGGGGCAGCTGTCCCGTATGTTGGGGCAGCAGGCTTAAAGGTGCGCTTGTACGCCGCAGTGGTACCCTTGTGGGACGGAGAAGTGGGCTGATAGGCAGTGGTGACGGTTGGCTGATGGACGAGGGATGCGGCCTTGTACGCGGGCTTATAAACATTGGCAGCAGTCTTGTAAGCAGGAGTGGGGTGATACTCGGGGTACTGGGCCTCTCCCTCGTAGGTGACCTCAGCGTTGTAGCCGCCGTACTTGTCGACGACGTACTTCACGTGCTGGATGCGGCCGTCTGGCAGAGCCACCGAGTAATATCCCTGGGTGTTGTGGCCATCGCTCTCCTCCTTCTTGACAAAGTTGGTGCCCGTGTAGTGGTCGCTGACGAAGTAGTCGTATGCGAACGGCTTGGGCTCCTTGTACTGGTACTCCGGGTGGTATGACGGGGAGTCGGGAGCCGTAGCAGCGGCGACGGCAGCCGCCAGGGCGGCGACGAGAACAAGGACCTGAAGGTGGAAATGTAGTACGTTATTCCCACTGAAATGCATTCCTGATCGGAGCTGATATCTTGTCTTTAAGTGCTTTTAAGAAGTTCCTCGTAGCTATATAGCTCCTGTACTCATTATACAAAGTCTGAATTTGAAATCTCATTCACTTTGTATGCACGCAAATGCAGATGAGATGACCACCATAGCGACCAATATCGTACTTCTAGTTGAACCACTAGTGCGTACCTTCATGCTCAAGCTCTGACGGCAGATAATGCAGTGAAACTGATACCTTCTCCACAATGCCTTCGCTTTTAAGCGCCAGCTCCAAGTCGCTGAGGGCCTGAGGTCACGGTCCGATCCCTCCGCATGCGACCGTTTGGCGATGGACCATCAGCTGGGCTCTCACGACCACTCCCTGTTGGTCACGCCCGTCTCCGCACGCGGCGACCCTGCGGCCGCTGACCCGTCTCAGTTGGAGCAGCCTCGGGCGCTTACCGCTCTACCCAGACCCATGACACCGAGCTAGGACTTCGCGCGCAGAGGTTTGGGAATGGATGTTGAAGATCGAAACGGTAGCTTATCGTAGAAACCAATGACAGAGCTTGATTGGTTGCAATGCGGCATACATGGCATGTGATATCTGCAAGAACCGTTTCTGAATAGCCCTGCGGCCCGTCTGATGCGCAGGGCAAGCTGCCCAGCACAACTCACTGTGCAATGTAGAAAGAACATATAAAATTATAATATATAATATCAGAATGCACCTTTAGTATCATAGAGGGCAGAAAAGCCAGCTGATTGACACAGATCGTCACTTCCTGTGGATGCCGTGTGTGCGGAAGTAAAAACAGTGGATGTGGAAGTACATGAAGAACCATCGACCCGCTGCTCAGGCATCATGCCCATCGTGATTCCATTTTCCCTGCAATTTTCATGATCCTGCCATTACCAAAGACCTTGCTCTTTAAGCACAAGAGGATCAAGCTCGTCATGACGGTTCCGGCAAAACCACTGGAAACTGAAAACTGCGAGAACAATGTATCACACATGACAGACCAGACACTTGAAATCTAAAGCCGCACAGATCGGCATGGATTCAGTTTGGTATTATCCAATCCACCCAGGCCTTATTTCTCTGATGCCCTGGCAAGGGGTGAAAAACGGTCCACAGATTATCTATACCAAGTGAAGGAATTGTAATAATCTGCGTGACCGGAATGCTGGGATCGGAAACAAAGGCTGGGGTGTAGCGTATGGGAGAGGTCTCATAGGCCCTCCGGACCGGCGCAACAAGTGGTGAAAGGCGGATGTGGAGGGTGCCAGGTCTTCTTTTCCAGTTGCCATTGAAAAACATAGCCTTTTGTTGCTCCTTGAAGGTTTAGAAGATACCATCACACCGATAATCGATGCTGCGTCAAATTTTGCACAGCTTCAGGCGGCTGAAAATTCAAGTTGTTTTTAGCGTAACTTGCTAGATGCAGCTATGCCACGACCATACCACGCCTGCCGTGTGCTAGATCATTCATAATTCAAGGTCCTCAACCCATCAGCTCTAAGGTTTTATTCGCCCAATTGCCAAATGTTAACAAGCGTTCGGGAGAGGTCAGTTTGCATCCGCCCCCAATGTTTTACGGAATAAGTGTCGAACGGCGGCGAGGTCAGACAGTGACTTTAAAATTGGTCATATAGCTCAACTCAAGATGGCTCGGCGAGCGGCAACGTCTCCTTGCTTACTTCCAATGTGAACAAACGTTCAGGATGTATGGAGTGACCAGCTACACTTCTTAGCGCTAGGGTTCACGTGTATGAACCGCTATCGATCCATGTCCATCGATTCAATACAGCTTTGCATGAGACCAATTTTGGCTACGAAATGCGCGTTGAGTGCGAGGAAGAGGTGGATATATCAAAATGTATTTCTGAATGAACAGGAAGCCCTTCACATGTTGCCTTGAAAAAAAATGCCTGGAGAAATGTCTGGTTCTCTAGAACGCGCGGGAGCCATAGAGTGATGAGTATGGCATTACTTTCAAATACACTGTCAGCTATAAACAAAGCCGACGCGATGACAAAATCAGGCGATGGCTATGAAGGATGGGGCAGGAGAAGACAGAATGGAATTTGGTAGAATGTAAAGATGGTAGTACTGGAAACGGGACTATAGATTGGTTTGTAAGAGCATCATGCGGTTCGGAGCTCGTTGGCAATAAGAGAAGCCAAACTTAACAGATCACATCAGGATTATAATTAAGGACCAAATATGCAGAATGAGGATGGATAAATGATGGCTCGATCATTTTCTTTTCAAAGTGTCGCTCTCAACACTCTCTTCACATCTATGTGTGATTTCAAATATTCATAGGTGCACTGCATTAACCATACATTTTGCTCCGGTCACTGTTCATTTCGTTTCGCAGAGGAATTCGTGGTACCAGGTTGATGCTGTAGTCTTTGGCCAGTAATCTTTATAACAAATAATTCGTAGTCGCGCAGCGCGGCGGTCAGCGACAGATTACGGAAGCTGCATTATTCCAGTTTCTTGAAATGTGTATATATGCTCAAAACATGGTATTGATGTTATTGTGGCTTTGTCTATTTGTTTGTTTAGGACATGAGCAGTCCACAGGCAAAAGTCCTATGACGGAAGCAGTTGAATTAAAAAAAAATAGATATACGGTACACACACAAGCAAAAAACCTAACCAAGCACACACACACACACATACACATCGCACACACACACACACACACACATACACACACACACACACACACACACACACACACACACACACACACACACACACACACACACACACACACACACACACACACACACACACACACACACACACACACAGTCGCACATCAAGTCATCAAAGAAAATGTTCCACGTGTGCCGGCGACCCCAAACAAATCAGATCTGAATGATTTTGTTGGAAAAAAAACATCATTTGAGGGAGAATGCTGCAAAAAGTGATTGCGGACAGCGTGTAGTCGTGCCAAAAATCCATTTTTAACTGTGATGACTCTTGCGAATGACTCGTTGAAAAGGTTAAGGTGCAGAGAACGCCGCACGGGTGCAGCCAGTCTGAACAGTGGCGTCAAATGAACGCAGCCACTGTTTCTCTGACTACGAAAACTAAACCTTTTTCGCGGCGGATCGGCGGGAGGCCACTGCTCGCTCCAGTAAAGTGTAGGGCGGGCGTGTTAGTCTAAGGATGGTGTGATGCTTACGCCACCATCAACAGCATGTGCGTATAGCCTAATGAGATGAACCGCGTACCGACAACAACACGGACATATGAGCAGCAGTTTTATTAACATATTTGTAAAAATAATAATCATAAGACCACATTCGTGCGTTCATTTACCGGGCATCCCTCATGCCGAGTACGTTGCAGGCTTGTGTGCCAGGGCAGCAGCCTTGTAGACAGGGGAAGAATTGTGGGCGGCAGCTGGTTTGTAAGCCGCAGCGGCAGCCTTGTAGACAGGGGCGGGGTGGTACTGGGGGTACTGGGCCTCTCCCTCGTAAGTGACCTCAGCGTTGTAGCCTCCGTAGTTATCAGCGACGTACTTGACGTGCTGCACACGTCCGTCGGGCAGAGCCACTGAGTAATAACCCTGAGTGTTCTGGCCGTCGCTCTCCTCCTTCTTGACGAAGTTGGTGCCGGTATAGTGGTCGCTGACGGCGTAGTCGTATGCGAACGGCTTGGGCTCCTCATGGTACTGGGGCTGCGGATGGTAAGAGGCCGACTTGTAGGCCGGGGCGGGCTTGTACACCGGTGTATCCGGGGCTGGGGCGGCGGCTGCAACAGCTAGCACGGCGGCAACGACGAGGACCTGCAATGCCATAGCATATATGCTATCAAGACGTCGTTCATTCTAGCATCATACTTATTTTCCGACCACGATGTATTTGCCTAACAAATCTCTAGCACCCGACAAATTTCTACACCAACAATACACTTCAAGAACATGCCTGCATGCCGTGTTTTGGTGGCCGAGTGTGCAATGCAACTGGTGTCTGCTACTGCAGTACTTTCGCTTTTATAGGTCGGCCGCCCACCACAGATAGAACCCCACGGTCATTACCTCACTGAACAGATTGCCCCCCCCCCCCCCACCCCCTCCCGCACGTTGCCATCGGCTGTGCTGGTGTCACCATGGATTGGCACGGACCCATGGCCACATTCATATGTACGCGCCACTCCTGTCATGCGATAATTGCGCCCATTTAAAATTAGGATTGTCACGCTTAAAAGGCACAAAACTACTATAAGCAACACGGTTTGTTGCTTAAAAAGAGTACTCCCCAATACGTCACCGTTTGATTAAGCCATGGGCCGTTTCTACGTCATCAAAGGTTCTACCAGAGTTGCCGTGTTCGAGGTGCCGTGATTGTACATTCTTCAATGATTTCATGTCTTTTATTTGCATTGGCAGCTTCGTTTACGGTGCAATATTTCAGTTCATGGATTGTCAGAATAATTTCTGTCATAACTTAAAGATAGCTAAACGCCGGTGTAGTTCATCACAAAACGCGGCCAACGATCACGCGGATGGTGATCGAGGTACGCAATCGGCCGCGCAATCTGGCTGTTACCAATTTACTTATGACGTCACGCGTTCGTCATAGAAGCCAGATCCAGCTGGATGCGCATTTATGCGCATCAGTCTTGATTTTTCATGACATTGAACTTTGATAAATAGTTGCATGGGCTTGCAAGGCCTACCGCCATATTCGTCATAAAATTCTTCGTTACTGGCTTGCCCGTTACGTGCACCTTCCTCCAACGGCATTTTCACCTCTCACATTTCTAGCTTCCGTTTGCCCTTCAGCATTACGTCCGGGGCCTTGCGGCCCAGCGCATTGAAGGTTTGTCACCAGTGACGTCACGCTTACATCAAGCGAGGATGAAACTGAAATCTCCGGAGAGTTTTACCTCTCTTATACCGCCATCATTCCGGTGTAGATATGTTCTAAGCTGTTTATACTTATCCCCATCTTCATACAAAATTTTCCAGCAAAGGCGCTTCCATCAATACCCTTTTAAACTGAGTGTTTTTTAAGTTGTATTTATTTTTTTCATTGGTACTCTATGAAACAACAAAATCCACAATTAATGCGATACATTCTCGTTGATACGTTTGAGAAGGACACGATTCGTGTCTGTAAACGTCAAGAAGTGTCTTAACCAGCTTAGAAACACTACAGAACCAAGAGTACATATTCATGCTTCTGCCTCG